CTACTCGAGTGGTGCATATCACCTTGTCACCAAGGACGGTGACCAGCTTATGATGCCGATAAACGGCAAGTTCCTGAAAAAATACTATCCTTAGTATCTTCAGGATAACCAAACTATGTCTGCCAGCTGCACTCGATTCAAAACCCAACTCATCATCTGCACATAAATCCAAATAACTTTCACGCTGTGTCACCTTAGCTGGAATCCCAACCAATGCAGAATGATCTGGAGTATGTGGGAAAATCCCTACCCAATGTGGAGTAGCATCAGTCTCCACCCGCTGCGATACCTCTAATAAACGGCAAGTTCCTGAAAAAATACTATCCTTAGTATCTTCAGGATAACCAATGTATCGGGAAGTTCCGAGAAGAATACCACATGGGTATTCTTAGGGATAACCCAGTCATTGTAGAATTGATGAATAAACTCTTATGAGTTATTTTTGTGAGATGAGATCCAATCCTCTGATAGGTTAATCTTTCCTCACCAAACCATCCGCTGATCAAATTAAACGACGGTGGATCCACCAACATTTCCATCTGCCCGTCGTTGGCATTTCTCAGACTCAACATGTTAGGTCCTAATCACCTAGCATTAAAGTCTTCCTTTGAGTGATAATACGAGTTGGCACTTTCTTTGCTACCTGTATTCCACTTTCTTTGCTTTCAGGTCAAACCTATAAAAGTTAGGGCCAAAGCCAAATTCCTCTCTCGATTCCTTCCATGAACGAGAGGTCCACTTTCAATTTGAACAATCAAACCTATAAAAGTTAGGATTGTTCCCGATCTCACTTAGTCAAGCCTACAAATAGTTAAGACTAAGACCGAGTCATTCCTTTTCGATAAACGAAAATCCACCTTTGTCCCCTTTTCCACCAAACCTATAAAAGTTAGGGTTGAAATTGGGTTTTCTCCTCAATGAATGAGGGATTCTTTGGGTTCAAATGACCAATCCTATAAAAGTTAGGGTCGTTCGAACCTCTCCGATTCTCAGAGTGGAGATCCCACTCTTAGTTTCATCCTTCCGGATTCTGGGGGTGGAGATCCCACCTCGAGTTTCCTTTCCAGCTGTAGATAGAATATAAAATTCTTCCTCTTCAGCACCGGGAGATAGAATATAAAATTCTTCCTCTCCCATTTCCTAGTCTGTCTTTGCTCTTAAAAAAGACACAATTCTTAACTTCCAATCCGGGCACTTGGTGCACGGGGAATTTCATCCCGAAGCCTAAGAAGGGATAAGCCAGCGACTAGCACGCGTTGCCGGTTTAGTCTTTTACCGATTGAAAAAGACACCAGAATCCGAGTCTGGGGAATTTTATCCCGAAGCCTAAGTAGGGATAAGTCAACGCCTAACACGCGTTGCCGGTTTAGTCTTTCACCGATTGAAGAAGACACCAGAATTCCAGTCTGGGGAATTTTATCCCGAAGCCTAAGTAGGGATAAGTCAACGCCTAACACGCGTTGCCGGTTAGTTCTTTCACCGATTAAAGAAAAAGACACCAAGGTCTAAACTTGGGGAATTTTATCCTGAAGCCTAAGTAGGGATGAGTCAACACCTAACACGTGTTGCCGGGTAGCCTATTCCTGTAACAAGGGCAAAGCCTATGTATTCGAAATCATAGCACAAAGTCTTAGAGAATTCACTCTCTCAGCACAACGTTACATGCGGAACGGATTTAGACAATCCGCATGCTAGCCCGACTCAAACGGTGGTCGGTAAAGGCACATCAAACCCGTTGAAGGCTGGGGGTTTGCCAAAAATCCCAAAGTCTATGTCTAACACACATGGCCGGTTTAATCTTTCGCCGATTGAAAAAGACACCAGGGTCTAAACCTGGGGAATTTTATCCCGAAGCCTAAGAAGGGATAAGTCATCGCCTAATACGCGGTGCAGGTTGCCTTTTCCCTATAAGAAATGGTTAAGTCTATGTATTCAAAAATCATAGCATCAAGTCTAAGAAAAGCGATTTTCTTAGCACAACGTTACATGTGAGACGGGTTTAAT